ATGGTGATTTGGGATCCTGATTGGACCCTGACGCCGGACCCGCCGGACCCGCTGGTCCGCCAGCGATGACATCAAGCCAAAGTGCCCCGGAGATCCTCGCCATTACTCATGCGGCGGGATCTCCAGGTGGGGGTGCATCTGCCAAGAGTATGGTCAGCAGATGTCAGCAGGATCGGGTGGCGCTAGGCTTTGCTGCGGCGTGAATGTGAGGATCTGAGGCGGATGCCGGATGCATGAAACATACTGTTCAAGGGCTATCAGCCCAAGTTCGAGCCTAACATGCTCTCCGCCAGTCGCATGATAACAAAGCATGCTCGACCGCCATGCCATCGGAGACCGCACTTAGTGCGCGAGTGGTGCTCCATCCCGATTCGGGATTCCTGGAGCCTCTCCTGCAAGAAGGAGCCGACGCCTCCCGCGTCGAGATCCTCCTCACCGCCTTCACGTATGCGAAAGTGACGGAGATGGCTGTCGCGGTCTGCGAGGAGCTTCCGCTTGGATGGATGTGGCCAGCGATGTCAGTCTCGAACGTTTCGAAGGATTTTAGTGCTTGAGTTTGATGGGTTGCCGTGTCAATGTGGAAATGCGGCCTCGGGTGCACTGTTTGTTTTGCCGTCATGAAGGCTCGCGAACCTAGTTCAATCCCACATTCGTAACTGTGCCTTGTGTTCTCAGCACATCCGGCTTTGTCCTTTGCCTCGTAGTAGGAAAACCACAAGCAAAGCCCGCAAGTTCCGCGAGGCATTTCCAAGCACAGGTTTCAAGGTGGATGTTAATGGTAACTGGCTGCTACCATCGGCTACCCGTGGTTGGCAAATAGCACGACAACAGGAGAAGTGCCAAGCTCTACATCAGCTGGATGTCCTGGACTCCTGCCACTGGCATCGGGCTCCTTGGCTGTGCCAGGCTCTACGTACCTCCAGACATCAAGCAGAAGTGCCTCGAACGATTGTAGCACTCCCGGCCTGTAAATGGGGTCGCAAGATATTGCAAAATACGCTCGAGACCACACCTGGCTGTTGCAAGTGTGCAGGCATGTGGATAAGGCGAGCTGCAGTGCCAGCTCCCTCAATGTTTCCGAACCACACGTGGCAAACTTCATAAACAACTTTCTTGAGCTCTAGTCTGAAGCTGTTAGGAACTGCACCTGCGCAGACTGACAAGACCAGATGTAGATGGCAAGACGAAACAGTGAAGCACGCATATTGCAAGAAGGCTGCCCTTAACGTTAAGGATCGGACAACGGTCACTGGCCAGATGAAGCAGCAGGCCAGCAAAAGGACGATTCGAACTAGCTTCTCTATCATCCAGCGCCATCCCGTGAGAGCTTCCCACGAAGCGGAGATCGACAATGCCGGTTCCAACAGGCGCCTGAGAGCGCCGACGATGCTTTTTCACTCAAAGAGAAGAGCAATGCGGCGACGGTTCCCGTCCTCTGTACTTCAGCAGGAAAATCCAGTGTCCGAAAATAGTCACCCATCTTTGAGACGGCTGGCTCCACGGATGCCTTAGCACCTGCCGAGTTAGGCTAAGCTTTCAAGAGCCGACTGCATGTCCCGCACCTCCAGCCACGATTGATGTGAGGCGTTCTCGAGCTTCGTCGCTCGCATCGAAGTCGACGAAATACGAGTTCTCGTTGTCCTGCCAGCTCCAACATTTCGTTGCCGAAAACAGCACCCTTGCTTTTTAGCGGCTTGCCTTGACGAACTCGAGATGCCCGCCGACGGGCTGGATTGCCACCGGAATCCCTGCACTCCAGGCCTTCCAAGGTGTTCAGCAAGAGCCTCCTGTGCTTAGAGCTTGCAGCACAAGCCTCAACGACGGTGTTTCCGAGAGTTTCACAGGTACTCGCGGAAACGAACAAATCGCTGGCAGCATATACTATTCGCAGATCTTCTGCCCCGAGCATGCCTTCCGAGGAGAAGTTGATTCCAGAGTCAGAAACTGATTATGCTGGTAGCAAGATTGAAAGACACCAGCCTCGCTTAGGCAAGATGTTGCGTCGCCCGGTAGCCTCAGCGGCAGGACATGTCTGCAGTTTCCAATTGCTCCTTGTCCTGAAGTGGCAGATGAGATGCTTCTATCTCATCGGCATAGTCTGCATCACTGTCGCCCACGATGATCAAGCCACAATCGTCAGGGATGGCATCATGCAACAAGTGTATGCGCTTTTCTGCCGACCATCTGCCGGCAAACAGAAAAATTGCTTTCGGCTCGAAGCCCAACTCCTCAATCCAACATGCTCGCTTGGCTGCTGCAGCTGTCTGAAAATCATGGAGCGGTCTCCGAAATGCATCGGACCACAACACCGGAGGCCACACGCCATCTACCGGTATGCTGTAGCGGTCCCAAAGCGACTTCGCATACACATGCGCCACCGACGCATGCAAAGTTGCGAAGAAGGCAGATGCCAAATGAAGCCACCACAAGATCTTCAGCAGAATGAACTGATTGTATACGGGATGCGAAGGCACATCCGAGTGAGTTGTGGCTATGCTGGGCATGCCCAAGCCCCGCATCAGCATCAACGGCGCTATGCGCATGCAGCTATCGTCGATGAAACACAACGCATGGCCTCACACCAGCTCCGTAACTTCTTCTTGACGTTTCTATCAGTCGCTGCACTTCTTCTGCTGCATGGCAGCAACAACATGACTAATGCCAACGACCTCCCCGGCACTGCACTCATCTGCACTCGCTCATTCGTGACCCGGGCACTCACTCTGCTTTGCTGAGGGCTTAAGGCGCCCTCACCCTTGCAAGTGCGCACTAGTTTAAGGGTGGCATCCGGGGCCCAGCCCTTTGCGTCTCTTAGTGCAGTTTCCTTCCAAGCTGGGTGGTATGCGGATTCTCATTTTGGGGCTCCTCACACCTTCCTGGGACAAGATGGCAGGCCATCCTTGCCGAGTGGTGACTGTTTTCCTACCGAGGCGTCATCTGCGAGAATGTGGCGATGTTCGCACTGTAACGATTGTTCTTGCTCCCTGAAAAGCCCGAAGCGTTTATGGGGTAAGCGAGGCAACTTAGCAACTGTGTGACCAGTGCATTGTGGATGTTGTGGAGCACAGCTGGGTTCTTTGCAGGACTACAGGCATGCAAATTTGTGCTCGACACCCGGGTTCTGGCATCTGCCTTCGTTCTGCAGTGAGTTTGGCGCTGCTTTACATCCGGTAGCATCTCATTTCCTAAGTTATGAGCGAAACTTGGAGCGCTGCTGCATGCGCTTCTACGCACGGTGAGATGAAGAACTTTGATTGATGATCTGCCATCGCTCAATGAGCGTGTGAGCTCAAGAAACGTGATTTCCCGCCATCGCCTGATGACAGGGCTATGAAATGTGAGCTAACAACCTCCCACACCTGACGAGGGGGCGGATTTAAGAGATAGGATCCACAGCCATCGCTAGTGAGTGGGCGGGTTCAAGAGCTATGATCAACTGCCGTCGCTGAGGAGGCGAGTTTAACACATGTGATCAACCGCCACAGCTCAGTGAGGGGAGTAGGATCTAGCGATGTGATCAAGCGCCATCGCCAAATGAGGAGGAGAGTTTAAGAAAAGCCACCATCGCAAATATGAGGGGGCGGATTCAGAAGATGTGATCAATCGTCATCCCCTAGTGAGGCGGGTTTCGCAGATGTGATCAACTGCCAACGCTTGCGGCGGGCGAGTTTGAGACAAGTAGTGATGATGCACTGGGTTGGAGGAATGAGATCAGCCGACATAACGAGGAGGAGGCCAGACATGTCCACTCATCATAGCAGCACCGGGACGCGCGTGGGCATGCGACACATGCACGCGCTCTGGACAGACTTTCGCCTCCATGAAGCAGCTCCCACACCAGTCTGCAGGTGTTGTGGATGGAGAAGAAGTCCATTAAAACAGCCACGCCAAGTGCGTTCGAAGCCTGCAATGCCCAAACTGGAACATGGACAAGCTGGCCAGTCTTCAACCATCTCCTCAGTCGGCACTGGTCATGTCAAGCATCTGACGGACATCATGCAGAGCATGCTCTTGTGTGCCATCAGGTTTTGCAGAGGCCGGGCGGCTCCACGTCCGCCTCGCCGGATTCGCCGATGTTCACCGGAGAAAGCAAAGTCACTTGCCAGTCGAGACCGTCGATTAACGCTCGGCAGAGTGCGAGGTAATCCTTGGCAACACCGCCGGCCTTCGAGACAAACAAAGGCAGAGCTCGCACCTACCTCACCCAAACCAGCTTTTTTGTTCATCCCGCGCCTGCTTCAGCAGCGGCGGAAAAGCTTGTGCACAGATCAAGGCACGCATGACAGTGCAAGCGCTGGCAAGGCTTGGAAGGGTTCTGGGACTTCAGTCTGCTTGTCTTCGCTGAATTTTGCTGTGCAGCATGCAAGCTCAACAAGAAGCCCTGCACGGTCGATTACCTAGGGCCCCAGGGTGCCAGATCGGATCAGAACTCAGTCCGATCCCAAAGAGCAAGTGATTGCAATTGCAAAAATTACAGGTGTGTGAGTGACCGGATGGCTTGTGGCGTCCTGAAGGGTCTGCTCCTTGAGCTTCCAGAGCTTCCACAGGCAAAGGTATACGTCTTCAAGTGCACAGTCGCGACTCGTGGGGTGCTGGAGTGCTGGTCTGTTTTCCACACTCTGCGAGAGGTGTGCAGAACCTGTGCCTGCCTCAAGACTTTTAAACCCAAGCCGTGTACTTTGTACACGCCAGCTTCACGAAGTCCTGAGCCCTGCTCCGGGCGTCGGATGCAGATCGGCTTAAATGCGGCCCAAACGCCGGGTATCTTAAGAGGGCACACAGCACTCAAAGCACCCGCTTACCAAAAAAGCTACGCTTTTACATGCTTTTACTCTCTTGCAGGCTTTTCTGATTCTCTACATCAGCCAATGGTAATTGTCGGAACAAGCGGGTGCGGAACGTAGCCATGTTGTTGCTGGGTTAGCAGAACACAACGTGACTACTTGGCGGCCATCTTATGTAAGATAAAGATAGCCAGGCAGAATCGATCAGAGAGTCTGTCACATGGTCCACTTGGCGAAGAAATCGTTACCTCGTCGGAACTGTCAGATCGATTTTTGTTCCATGGGTATTTGGCCGCATCCCGGCGAGGACTTAAGAAGTCTGCCTTTGTCGTCCACCAGAATGAAAGCAGGAAAGTTTTCTACCTGACCGGCGGGTTCGAGAACCACGGCATTGGTATGATTCGCAATAAGGATGCTCCCAACGTGTGCCTCAATCTTCCAGACTGCCTCCATGCCGAGCTCGGGAAACTCCAGAACCTGTGGCAACCGAAGATTCGTGGGGGTCTAAACAACTGGCTTCGTACTGCAGTCTCAACCGTCATTTGAGAACATCACAGCCCAACCACGCCTCGATCTTTTTGATGCAGTCTTCGGCGAGAACCTCCATGTGCAGTTTCGGATTCGCTTATGATGTGCATATTCTGGACTCTAAATCTTTAAGGAGCAAAGACCGCAAGATCGCTCTTGGAATCCAACCGCTGCGGCTCCGCCAACACTGCCGAGATAGAAGCCGCCGTACTGCTTGCAAGAATCTGTCACCTCCCGAGAACAGGAGAGGTGAGAGGTGGGTCTCTGCTCCGCTCGTGCAGGCAAGCGGCCTGCTTGGAGCGATTGCCCTTCGCAAGCGTCACCTTATGCCGATCGAATCCGAGAGATGCCGTGTGCCGAAGACTCGAGTCGGTTCAAGGACAGAACCCCAGCACATGGGGCAAGGCTAAACAGAGCTGCGGCTCCCGATCCTCTGACCCCGATTGATGCAGTGCCATTGCAGCTGAAGCCTGGACCTACCGTGTTTGCTGAGGTCGTTATTGAAAGACTCGATGGCTCGTGGAGAGACGACGCTTTTCTACAAGTTAATGACCTCAGGGTACTTACTCCTCCACAGACGATCTGCCGCGACGCCCAAAGTAGGGTGCCCGGAGCACCAAGACGGATTTGAAGGCATGGAAAACCACTTTGCTCGCAGCCCACCTGAAACTATGCGACCTGCTTTCCAGGCAAAGAACAGAGTCACACTAGACGAGGGAAACACACACCCGGGGTGTATGCATACTGTGTACAGTATACAGTCCTGGTTTCATGCGCTCGTTTCGCTGCCAATCTTCTCAACAAAGGGCCCAAGATTGCCCTGCACCAAATACTTTCCGACAGCAGTGCTCGATCCGAGTAGAGCGGCCGACAGCGACAGCGAGCTTCTTCCGTGGACAATCTTCACTCTCCAAGGCCTTTCCGGCAAACACCTATAGTTGTGGAGTGATTTGATGATGAAGAGCCTTGCAAGTGACGGCGCTACAGATTTGGGCATAGCTCGAACAGCTCCCTCAAGTCGTGCGAACGCACGACGGCAACGCAGCCAAGACACTTAGAATCGCCGAGCCAAAATACCCATTAGGAAGCAAATGCACCAGTGGTGTGCGATTCAATCTCATACTCAGCGCATTCCACACTGAAAACTCCTGCTGGAAGGGCTGTGAGTTGGGCTTCTTTCTTGTGACACTACAGGCCTCCAACCACGCTGGGGCCAGCGATTCAACATTTTCTGACGAAGAACGGGGGTGTTCTACAGGGTATGCCCGCTGAATCGTTTGAAGTGTTGTCCATCAGTTTTGCTGTCGCGATACAGGAAACAACTGTTGACCGACAGTCGTGCTTCATTCTCTAAGGAATCAAGCGAACAACCAGAGTGGATTAGTCAGATTCCGCAAGCCAGCCCGCACGGACTTCTTCAATGAGTGTCGCTGTTTTGCTGCGGCTTTCCTGCCTTACTTTTCGGTTTGTTCCTGTCACTATGGCCTCAAACCAGGCCCGGCCAGGGGTTCCAAGCAGCGAAAAGAGGTGCAAATGAGATGCTAAAGTGCTAAAGTCAAAAACAGAGACTCAGACCCTTATCCCTAAAACCTTGTTGATTTGTCGACGTGACCTCAGGCCGAATACACACCAACACCCGGCAGCAGGCAAAGCTTCGTGAAATCACCCCTCCAGCATGGTGCGTCGAAGCAACAGCCACCAGCTAGCGCCGAAGGCTCAAACATGAACTGCCAGCATCACTCAACTGGACATGCAGCTTTGCTGTGGCGCCGGCCAAAGAAGCCCCGTGCGGTTGCCACATAGGGACATAAGTGTCCATGCCTTAGGGCTTAGGGAGATTTCTTGTGACGTTCAAGGCCGAGCCACTTCAGCTTGGAACGTCCCGCTGTGGTTGGTCCGAAAGATCCAGAGGCATATCCTGCAGGTGTCCTCAGCCCACGCCAAAGATTCCAGTTTCCCAGGGCTGCGATCCTGCGCCTAAGCCTTTGGCTTTGCTGGGCCAGCATAGTAGATCGGGTGATCCTGCACAGAATGCTGCACATGCCGCCAAAAGGCTCCAGGCAACAGGCAAGAATCCTTCACGTATTCTGGAAGGACTCCCGTCTGATCAAACCGCTCGCTGATCTTGGCATGGGCGATGTCGCGCGCCACGATGAGCGGGCCTTGCTTCCATCATCAGCGTCTGAAATATCTGAAATCTGCGTTGGGTCTGAGGGCATGTCCAGTCAATGACACCCTGGTCTTGATTGGGTACCTTTCAGCATCCGAATTGTCAATCTAGCTGATCGTGGCAATGGCAAGGCTGACCAGAGCGCTTTCCGAGCTCGAGACTGCGTGAGGACGGCAAGAATGTCTTTCATGGGCTGCTTCAGGTTTATGGATACAACCTAACACGGGTACTTGTGCCAGCAAAAGACCTGCTTCCTCCTCAGCTAATCTTGATCTCTCGACCGCTCTGTCAGATTTCGGTTGCGCTCTGCCTCTGACCTAGGCCGACAGACCTTGATGGATGCAACGAGAGCTCGTGTTAGGGTCAGCGCCTGCTCGGACAGCCCCGTCACAGGCCCGTCAGGAAGGTACCGTGCCTCACATGGCAACCATGGACCCAAACAACTCCAAATGTCCCCCAACAACATCCACAACAGAAGATCATCCAAGATGCGGGATTATGCTCAAGCTCCTCCACAAACACGCCTTCAGCCGTGATTTTCGCCAAAATCCTGGCCGACAACATGTTGTGGAGCAGCTTCTGACAAACCCACAGCTGAACATAGCATGTACAACTGCTGCAGTGTTTGTTTTGCTATGGCCCCGTCTTTCCCTTGCAACTGAAAACCCAGTGCTCAGTATGGTTGGCCTCTCATGCCAAAGCGTGGCGGAGGAACTGGCGATCCGCACTGCACGAAACTCCCAATCCGACTGGGCATGATGCGCCATGCCTGCACAAGCCATGACGAGCTCAAAATACTTGCTCAGTCATGTCTGGGCCCGGCAGACCACGAACTACAACAGTGGTAAGGAGGAGGTAGCTGGGCAGTTGACTTTGAGCCGGCTCGTTGGAATTTTTTTGGGGGAAACTCCTCCGGTGGCTGGTTTGGTCATGCTGGGACAAGGATAGCACGGAGGGTGTCCTCACCTCAGCTCACAAGTTCCTCGAAGCGGCACTTGGCCCCGCCAGAAGACACCGATCGAAGAGGCCAGCTCAATACAGGATACATAGACAGAATTTGGCTGTTCAGCTGATGGCTCTGAACAAGAATCCTCTAGTCCCCCAGCCCCATTGCAAAATTGAGGGTGAGCCTTGGCAGTCGAACAACACGGGCCTGACAGGCTACATGAAACGGCTGGATTTCTGGCCCGTACGGTTGCTGGGGGAACGGCATCGTGAGCAAAGTACTTGCCGCCGAACTGGGCACCAACTCCAAGGTCTTGGCAAATCTGCAACACCTTTGCCTGCATGAGCTGAGTTGCTCAAGTCATAAAGGGTTGCTGAACGCTGCTAGATACTTTTGCCTCCCATTCAAGGTCGCGGAAGGCACGGCCCCCATCACTTCCGGAGGTTGGCAGGTCATCATAATACCTTTCCCATCGAAGCGGTTGGTGGCGGCATCGATGGCCACATGCCCCTTCTGTCTCTGCCTGGCGCTTGCAAGCTTGACGGTCTTCAAGCAGGTCTCGGCCTCGGAATGGCAGAAACCCACCCCTTGCAAAACCGTTTTCGACTGTCCGAAATATGCACCTCGCAGACGCCAAGTTAAGGCAAGCCGCAGAGGTGCCTCCAATGACCAGTGCGACGTGGTAGGGTGGGCAAGCGCTGGTGCCCAGAGTCTGCCTGAGACGGCTTTCGCCATATCCGATTCCCTGTGCTTCACAACTCGGTCGCCATCACAACCCCGAAGACGATCAGAGCCGCACAGCTTTTCGGTGATGAACGCCTCCAACTTCTTTGGGTTCAGTAGCGCCTTCCCAAACGTAAGGCATCTTAGCGTCGCAAGTGCTCTTCAAGTCTGGAGCAGCCTTCGTTTGCTGGTACAGGTAGGTCTTGTTGGCAGACCCTCCGCCCTTGGCCATGAAAAGAAACCTGAGTGCAGTGTGCGTGCAGTGTGCGTGCTTGTGCAGGATGCATCTCGAGCAGGCACAAGGACGGATATCGAGCTCGGAGGGCAACTCGTAGGATGAGCTCGCGGTCGCGAGAATGTCAATTTGAGCAGGAAGATTGCACCTCTCTTTTGTGGCTAGCGGATAGCAACGCTTTCATGGCAAAGCTCACAGTTGACCCAATTTCACTGCTCCATCTTGTCGCAGTCAGTAATTAAGAGAGTGGCTTCGTGTTCTTCTCGGCAAACATCGTTACCGGGGCCATCTGAGAATACCTCAAGTTCCTGCAAGCTTGAACTGTTCGGAAACAGTTGGTGGGTGCACCTGTAGGATCTTGCTACAAGCGGTTTAAAGGCCGACGTGGCATCGGTAAGCGACACGCATGCCCCCACCGTCCCCACCTTTGCGTGTAAGCATCGTAGACTCCATGGGAGAGCTGCGCTTCATCGTCACCGTCCGTGAACACGTGCATGCCTCGCCTGGGAAGCTTTGAGGGGTCGCTTTGGACGCTTTTTTAATAATTTATGTTTCTGAGTGAAGCGCTTGCCCATGACGATGGCTGTCCCAGTGTCCTGGCAGGGATTGCTGTCGCAAACGGTAGCAAGGCTCACTGCAGGGCGTCTCCCAGTCCTGGCAGCCAGGAAGCTGCCCTCCAGAAGCTTTCACGGCATTCCTGGTCTATGATTGATCTTGCTGTGGCCCAATTGCTTGTCGACTCCCAGCTGGGTCTTCAAGATTTGGGATTCGGAGGAGCCTTCCGCCATCCGACCTGCCCCAAAAAATTGCCAGTTCGCTTCTACTACCCAGTGGGTGATCCTGTTCCACAAGGCCTCAACTCCGATCCTCAAGGCCCGAGCTGTTCCACCAGAAAAGGGGCCGGGAGGGGATCACACGCAGAAACAAGCCTAATCCAAACCACCCAGCCATTCCACAGGTCAAGGCCCACGCCGTTCCACAGGAAAGGAGGGGGATGACCAAATCTGGAGTTTTCCCGCCGCCCCTGTTGTGTGGTTCTCCCGCCCCTCTTGTGGTGCGGTGTGGGGTTTTGGGGTCTGGTTGGAGTGGCTCCTTTCCCCCCCATGGTTCGCTGTTTGGGTCCCCTGGGGTGATTATCATCATCATCTTCATTATCATGTTCATGTTACCTTCGTGGGTCAACTGCACACGAACCGGGCCTGTCAGAAATGGGATCCTCGTGACACTTGCTGTTGAATACCCTCATGTCGGAGTCGTGCTTGAAAAGTGTCCACCGTCACAAGGATCGGGTGTGTTTGGGACCATATCCTCGTGACAGTTGACGGAAGTGCACATTGCAAATAGTCATAGGGATTTGGCATGTTTGGACTTGATCGTGCGGGGGGATACCGCGGAAGGGGGGGGGAAGGGCGGGCAACTTTTCGGCACGTGTTTCGCGTCTCGAGACGTGAGGCTCGGGGCCTCCGCCCTTCGATTCCATCATGCCTCCTCCCATTTCACATATTCATAAGGATTCAGGAGCAGCCTACCACAACCGAAACGATGTCAACCAGCTTCGAAATGGCAGATACCGCGGAAGAACTGCAGGGATCACTGGCCAGCAGGATTGAACTTGTAAGTCCTTCGCACTGAAAGGGTCGGTCCAAATTGGACAGAAAAGTCCTTCAATCAAACTTGTCGGAGGTGCTGAAGCAAGTTGTGGGCGGTGAAGCGGTCGTTCTCTGACGCCTGCTGCTACCAAATCAACAGGCATGTAGGCCTTGCGTCATGCTGTGCATGAGATGCAATGATCAAGTAAGACCCTGCTTTGATTTGTTTATTGCTAAGGCCTCTGGATCCGTCAGAATCTTTCCCAGCTGCGCAAGGTGCCCCGGTCGAAGAAAATGGCCTGGTGAGTTTAGACCGCTCCATAGTCGCGTTTGCTTGGTGTGGCTGGTTTTCTGCAGCCCCAACTCGCAAGGCAACTTTCACACGCGAGAGGCATGATCATGCACAGCCGCGGATATGAGGGTGAGATTTGTTGGCCCTTTATTTTGTTCTATTTTTTGATATGTTTTGTTGGTGGTTCTCTGTATTTCCACACGAAAACCTTTATTCTCGCTATATCTTCATCGGAAAACCTATATGGACCCATATTTTCTCTATATTTTCGTGTAGGAAAAACCTATTTTCTCGATATTTCGTTACACAAACAAACCCTACACTTTCTACTTTCTCTGTTTTAAAAGGTACATCTCTATTTTCTCTATGTTTTCATAGGAAAGCCATATTTTTATAGGATAGCCTTATATTGTCCGAAATTTTCCTGAGCGGCGGTACGCTGGGGTTGCGGGGGCGCAGCAAGCACAGTGATCGCATGAAGGGTTTCATAAAAGGAACCTCAAATACTTTGAAGCAAGCTTGCACGGCTGAAAACCCCCGTTTGCAAACAGAATGCTCGCATGATAGGATTCAAAAACACCCACATGCTGTGAAGCACGCTTGCATGGCTTAAACAAATGGGAGGTTCGGGAGGGCGCAACCCCCTCATTTGCACATTATGCTTTGAAGCAAGCTTGCACGGCTCAAAGAAGGGAGTCCGGGTGGTTGGGCCGCAGCCCCCCTCATTTACAAAATTCAATGGTCGTTTCGAGACTCGTCAGGAATGCGCAATAGTGATATCAACAATCACTCAAGATCAAATCTCAATCTGCTCCAGAATGCAATCTGTCGGTCTGAGATCTTTTGCCAGGGGCAATGAGCCAGTCTTGAGCCAATGCCAAATATCAGGCATTGATGTGAGTAGGTCCAGAATGGGCTGAACAATGACCATGCTATCTAACATCATTTGCAAACAGAATGCTCGCATGACGGGTTTCAAAAAGACTTATATGCTGTGAAGCAAGCTTGCACGGCTCAAGAAAGCAGGGGGGCACAGCCCCCCCCCAGTTGCAAACACGAATGCTCGCATAATGGGATTCAAAGAGACTCATATGCTTTGAAGCAAGCTTGCACGGCTTGCCCCCGCCTCCAACTCCTTCTTTCTTTATCTATTTCGTTCTTGCTTGCTTTATTTATTTCTTTCTTTATTTCTTCCTTTGATTATTTCACTTGTTTCGAATTATTTAATTATTTCTTTCGTTCTGTCTTTCTGTTCCTACCTTTTTCCCTTCGATTTCCATGCGTTTCTGTGAAGACAAAGAGAACACAGAGGACAATAGCGGTTTTTGCCGCCAAATTACAGAGAACATACGCTTTCCTATGAACATATAGCGAAAATAGAGGTTTCCTATGGAAATGCAGAGATCCCCCTCTTACCAAAAAAAGGGGCCAACCATGAACAACTCAAGGGCCAATTATAATTGGATCCCTGCCGCGATACGGTCGATATTAAGCAACTACGCAGAAGCGAAGACGGGGCAGTGGCTGATCTCTGAGATGCAGTGCTTGGATAGCTCTCGTAGAACCCATGGCCTGAGTAAAGTCGATTGTGAACACTTGTCAATTGTCTTGCATGGGCATGAGCTAGAAGTGGCAACCAAACACTAGTCTGAACGTTGACGGCTGAGGACCAGGCTGCACAGTAACAATCTTCTTGCTTCCGCTGGATACCTGCATACAGTCTCCGGACCAAGGCCCAGCTTGTGCTGCTTTGCAGCACGTTAGATACCTCCATATAACTTCCATCCATGATGGCCCGCTCTGTTTGGAGACTACTGTACCTGAAAAGCACCGACAAACCTGACAGAACAATGCCATGTGCAAAGTGCGGGGTTAGGTGTAGATCAGCAGTGATGCAGGGGAGTCACTGCTAGGAACACTCAGCTCTCATCGGTCCAAGTCCCGAGGCAAAACCAGCACACGGTCGTGTCCAACATCGTCCAAGCCACCCCAATCTCAGCAACTAGTCAGCGCAGAGGAGAGTTCAACTGAGCCATTGAACCGCGACCTACTTACCGTTTTCCATGAGCTATGCCCAAGCGACTCCAAACACCCTGACCACTTCTTCACTTGTAGAAGCCACAGGCTCCAAGCAACAGCACAGTCAATCACAGCCGAAGCCCCACCAAACCCAGGAGCCAATGGACCGCCATCCACGATTCCTTTCTGCAATCTATGGACCAGTGCATCCCGTCACAAACCACAAAGCCCAGACTTCCTTGGATCGCCAGCAACACGTCGAGCTTGATTGAGCACCGCAGCACAGCAAGCAGCAGCAAACAAAGAGGAGGAACAGCGACTCCACAAGACGATCCGTGCACTGGCGTTGCAGGACAAACAACAGAGCCTTAAGGACAGACTTCGGTCAGCGCCCGCGACAAGTGGCGCTGCAGCAAACGAATCCGTGCAGACTACAACCTACAAGCCTCGCACAGTTTCACAGGCCAAGACGGCAAGCCTACCAGCCACAGCAAACAGGCGGACACCTTTGCCACAAACCTCTCCACCACTTTCTCACATGTGACAAGGTCAAGCAAGCCACACGGGCAAAGTACCTGGGAGTCATGCTGCGCTCTGGCTCTTCCTGCAAAGATCTGCAAAGCAGACATCACCGCCAGTCTCGGCAAGGACAGCAGGGAAACACTTTTAAAGCACTGCAACGGTTTGCGGGATTGTTTGCTGCGCCGCTGCACTCACCACGGCAGATCTACACAGGCCCGAAGCCTTCCACCCACAGTCCCTTCGCAAAATCGAAAGAACCAAGTCAACACTCAAGCCAACAACCGGCCCACAGCGGCCACGGCTCCAGAGACTATGCAGCCGAAACAACCCTGCGGGCAAACCATTCGAAGTGAAGGGGTACAGGCCGGCGGTGAACCGCTGTCTAGAGGAAGTAAGTGGGGCTGCCAACCTGCAGGAGGCTCCTCAAAGCCACCTCTTTCTTTTGCTTGCTCGCGGCAGTGACGTACAGGGACGCGAGTGAGCTTTGAATAAGGCCGAACACAATGTCCAGACTTGGTAATCTCATGTAATTTCGGTTTGTGGCCCTCGACCTCGCATGAGACTGGGAGCCGCAGGATGCTTTATTGACCACCTTCAGATACACCAAGATAACTATTTGCATGATTCTACGTTGCACTGTCTGATTTCGTAAGAAGCTCGGCATCGGGAGACTTTCTGTCTTGATTCCGATCAGGAGATCCGAACAGTATCTCTTAACCCCAATCAATGCTTTGAGTGGCAATGGGCATAGTGTCTTTCTGGGGCTGGAGAGATATTCATCTGGTTTTGATCACACGGCGATCTTACTTTGGCAAGCGCCTCTTGCAAAATGCAACTTGAGATCTGGGCTACGAAAGCTAGGTCGCGGTTGGAACTGCGAGAGAGCAGTGCGATCTGGTCATTTCTGCATGTGCATGGTGAAGACCGCATCCGCTCATAGACATAAACAGTCTCGCACTATGGCAAGCTCTAAGGCAGCAGAAAGGCTTTCGGGCGGATATCACACTGCCTGAGACAACCTCCGAAGGTGAAGAAGGGGAGGGGTCCTGCCAGCGTGGGAGAGGCGGTATCCCTTCCTCCTGCCAGTAAATCAACGAACGAAACCCCCTGGCCGCCCCGCCGCCCGTTGGCTAGTTGAGTTTCATTCACACCACTTACGGCGGGTCGCTTGTTGACCCACCAGAACACTAGCGAGGAAGTTTGCAAACGAGAACTCCCGCAAGCTCAAAAGAGCCAGCTTTCGCGATTTCGCACGCCGTAGAACACATGAATGAACATCAGTGCTTGTGTCACGTATTGTCACGTGCCAAAAGGCTGTGCGAGAGGATTTCACGGATATGCCAAGAAAGTAGTGACTTTCATTAAGTCACATGAAGTCCTCGAGCGCGATTCCTTTTCTGCAAGCCCAGCACGTGAAACGCCTTTCAAGCTCCGACTCTGCAAACCCGAAGCCGGAGGGCCCGGAGGGCCACTGGACGCAAGCTTGAACCAGGCTTTCAAACGTTTGAAGGTCTCGTCCTGCAACTTCGCAATGGTAATTCCCACCAGTATGTTATGGTGCGGGCAGGAACGGCATAACTCTGGTGCGCATGGCATGCTGCACACATCCCTCAACCTTCGCAGTTCGCGACTTGCGAGGCCAACTTGACATGACTCGACGCACTTGAACATCCAGTTGAGCTGTTCAGCTCTGCGAACGACACTTGAACACACTGACCTCGCGCACAGGCAGGAATTGGCAGGACTTGCTTGCAGGCCTTGATCTCCTCCACGGCTATCCCGGCGCTCATCCCGTCCATTTTCTGAGACGGGGCAAACTCTCAGGACCCGGACTCAACTGCATGCAGGTTTCCCTAAATGCACACCCTCCTCTCAAAAGTCAGCCCAATGAACTTTGTGTTGTCGCTTGTCTCAAGCAAAGCGACCGTGTAGGGGACATCCACAGGGTTGGCATGCTGGAACATTGCTTGATACCTGTCGACGCCAAGGTCACTGGAACCTCTTACGATCTTCTTGCGAGGGCGGACGACAGCGGCGAAGCGACTTAGTCACAGGCTCGAAGTGCACGTCTGGGACCAGATCCTCAACCTGCCAACCAAAGCACGAGAGCCCCAACGCTTCGACGAGACGCACTACAAGTATTTGAGACTGCCTCTTTGCCGCCCTTGTCGCAACCACATTGGCCGCATGCATCTTGTTTCGCCTTGTCAGATGCTTGCGGCAGCTCTTAAACACGAGGGAGACATGAGTTTCACCTAGACAGACAGCCTCGGCCATGTTGTGACAGAAGTGCTAGTAGTCTCGAACACAGTCGCTGCTGTCAGGCAGTTGCGACACCAGCGTGCAGGACCGTTGCGCAAGTAGCTCATGCGCGCAAACACCATATTGCATAGTCGGTTCTGCGAAACAAGCCAGCTGCATGATCGCCTTCCTTTGCACGTCTGCAGCATGCTCAGCGTGAGAATGGTCAGCTACAAGTCTCGACTTGACAGCTTGGATAATGCTCCAACTTTGACATGAACACAAAGGGGTTCTACCCTGCAGTGCCAGGCAGCCTGCCCTTGAAACTTTGCTCCGTGCAAGTTAGTGGGTCATTGAAAGTCAGGTTTGTGCGTGGCAGTGTGTGATTTGCTGCGAGTCCTCCAAACGCGGACGGCAAAGTAAACACAACGACGGACAGTATTCGCTGCACCAGCAAGCAATTGACAGCAAACAATGTGAGTGGTTTCTCGCAGAAGCCAGAGTTGAAAGCTTCGAAGCCGAGCTGCGTCTTAATTGCCCCGGACAAGCAGTTGACAAAGGCACAACCTGCAGAGCCCCCTGCACAGCGGAGCCCAACCCCAACATACGGTCACATAGCCAAACACCGAGCCGGCAGGCGGGGTTTGGTTGGGATATTGCCGGGTGTCAAGTGTGCTCTAGCTTCGGACACTTGGTTCAGGCTGCCAAGTAGAGAGCAGCATGGAAAGGCCTCGGAGCATCTGTACAAAGCTCCCGGCACATCCTCAGACCAAAACTGTACCATCTTATCCGGCTCCCCACTCTAGCATCGAAAGCCTCAACTGAGCTCATGTTGTGCAGGAGCAGCATTCAACGCCCCTATCATGTGGTTGATTGCGTTTGCAGCTGCAGCTTTGAACCGCAGATGGAACCAATGAAGCCATGGCACCACTGTTCACATACCTTCCTGAAAGCTGTGACCCAACACAGGCGCATAACCTCACAAAGGCAAGCTTGGTCAATTGTTCGAACGCGGAGGACCATGCTCTACCAGTTGCTTCTTCATTTCTGAGCGTTCGACCGCTCAGAGAGTCAAGGCACTGCCGCATACCGGAGACCTGTGCTAATTTTTCGATAATATCAGGCCGCAAAAGTATGCTTGGTATCTTCATGAGCTCGTGTTTTTGAGGCTTATGGGGCGCTCGTTCCGAAGTGGTGCAAAGACGTGCAAAGGTTGAGCATGCTTTCGGGCTGAGAGACCGCCGGAAGCCGCCCCGGAACCTCCCGAAAGCTCCAGACATCTCCAGACGGCAGCTCCCAAAATTTCGCACACGCTCCGAGACCCTCAGAGAGGCTTTGCAAGCTCCGGCGCTCCGAAGGCTTCTTAATGTCCTGGGAGTCCCGAGAGGGAGGAATGTGGCACATCAGGGCCCGCACCGTCGTCGCTCTGGCGCATTGACGAAGCCCATCACGATCCACAGTGCCGAAGGTGATCTCACAAACCTGCACATGCTGGCGATTGAACGGCTATCCGAACAGAGTGGCGGGCATTGACTTCATTACAAATTCAGCCATGCTGCAAAGATCGGGCATGGTGCAGCAATATCGTGCAACACTGTCTAAAGGAAGGCTCGCCTTCTGCATGGGTCTACCCCAATCACAGCTTCAAGTCTAAAACAAATGCAGCTCGAATCACCAAATCTGCCCTGTCCAAGGTTTCGGAACTCTGTCGGACCTTTGCACCCACTGCCGTAGTTGCCGAAGCCGACCTGAATTCCAAACTCGCAAATACAATCAAAACAAACAAATGTCAAGACTGAGTTTCCTATAGAGGGCTGTGCACAAATTGCCGAAATCGATTTCATCCAGCTAATGCGACGGCTGATGTCACCGCGCCGCTCCTCCCGTCTCAAGGCTTAGTCTCGCGAAGGAAACAAGCTGCTGCAAGAATTCTCTGGCTTTGTCGGCGTGGCCAGTTAACTCAGTTTAGGTAAAAGTTTGTGGTGTCTTGAAGCGAAGCTTCTCGCCGTCTGCTGACCTGGCTGTAGACTCAGATTTTTGGCTTTTCGACAGTCTCCGACGCCCGAAGCCTTCCGCTTGTGCTCACCTTCGGTGCTCTCTTGTCATCTAGTGTCTCTGCGCCTGAAGGACATCGCTCCTGTCTCTATACCGGGACGGCAGAGTGCATCTTGCGCGTCGGGTTCCAGCTGGACATGCAGGTGCTCGGCGACTGAAAACTTGCGTTCTAGTAGTAGGAGGAGCAGCAACAGCGGCGGTAGTTGTCGTTGCCGTTTGCCGTTTCTCTCGCGGTGTCGCGGTTGCTGCTGTTGTTGTTGTTGTTGTAGCTGTGGTAGCAGGTAGCAGCAGTGCAGTAGCGGTAGCATCGTGCTTTCAACTCGCCAGTTAAGCATTCTTGTAAATACTCACAGTATGCGAGCATGAGGTTCTCGTTGTGCATACTTCATGATACTCTGCGCCGCCTTTCGTCAACACTTTCGAGCACCAACCACGCACCGGCAAACTGTGCCTTCTGGAACGGTATTTCGTAAGCGCTAGTCAAATTTAAGACAAGGGTAGTAGGACAACCCCCACATGCGTTTTGGACTGAGTGTCTGCACGTACTCGAAACGAGACAGACGCGAGCCAGACTCTCTACGTCGATGATTCCGTTCTTGCTGGACTGTGCAGAGAGCGCCACCTCCGTTGGCTCGGGGGCGGAGTTTGATGTCAGTAGGTGTGTTGAGGTTCAGCGTGTTTGGCGACGCTGAGTTAAATTACAGTCTGGACAGCTGAAGCGGTTTCGGCAACCACTTCTCGTATGTCGGTAGGGTGGCATCCTGTGTTTGCAGGGGCCCTGGCAGCAAAGCAGTGTTGGCCAGGTCCTGACCGATGACTGACACATACCTGGCAGCTGGTCAGCGTGTAAGAACAGAAGCCGTGCCATCGCGACTCAGGAACCAAGCCGCAAGCCCTGCCCACAGGGCTTTCAAATGTGAATTCGGGTAGCATGTGGCTTACCGAGCCTGTGCCACACAATGATTCCGTCATCTTCCGTCTCTGAGTTCAAGGCTCAGCTGGCTGTCTCTGGCTGTTCTCCCTGGCCGCCAATGCCAAGCTGCAAAGCGCAAAGTAATGCAAAGCAATGCAAAGCACATCGACTTGTCGAATCACGGCACACGGGCGTATAAAGATGCACGGCCCTCCCAGTCACCATCAGCACAGCCTCTCAACGCAGGATTTCTGTTGTACAGTGTTATTTCCTCAGATTTCTTGTTATGCAAAAGGCAATGCTGAGAAGCAAGCAATGAGCAAACCCCAGCCTCAGGCAACAAAACAGCGTCTACGACTCTACGGTCCTTGGACATCTTGGACACAGACAGCAGACTCGGGGTGGGGACTGAGCACGGTCCATATCCTGCTGGCGAGACTCCGTTGCTTCAGACCTTGGAAACAGCGCTTCGAAAATGCCCGATGGCACGACTAGATCGGCCTGGCGAAGACCACAATACACACTCTATATTGCGATGCAGCGTGCTCGTCAGCTCCCCCCGGAGGCCCTGCGCCACAGCACGGCCTAGCCAGTCTGCAGTCAGCACACAGGAAGGTCTGTCACTTCGTCACTTTGCAAGTGACTTCGGCCTCGAAGTGTCTTCAGGGAGAGGTCCATCAACTTGGAGCCTCGGCTTTGATTCACATTTTGTTCCGCCGACCCCGGCAATCCCGGCACAAGAACCGCTGGCGGCGTCTTTTGTGTCCGGCGCATCCTGGTAGGTTACCTCTGTTCCTGTTCTGTTGTCGCCTTTTCTTATTCCTGTTGAAGACACAGAGTCGTCGACGGTTCACTGGCCTATGTTGTGAGACACCATCATTTTTTGGCGTTCAGCCAGATCTGCCATGACAGCGTCACAGGCGGCACCCTGAGAAACAAGCAACTCAGTTTATCACTTGCAGCATTGACCGTGCGAATTCTTCACGTTTTCGGGCTCGCCCCCATACCATGCCCCATACAGATCCAAAAAGCAGAGAAGCAGTCTTGGCCCGAATGAACCACCATCTGACCACTCTTCAGAACTGCTCATGTTGGGGTGGCTGCTATTGGTTTGCAAGGGTTATGCGTCAATAATCACTAGAGTTAATCACTCTTATGTGCTCTGTGCTATGACGATGCAGCAGAGCTTGTCCGCATGCATCGCGCCAGTGCTGCATTTCTCCCATCATCACAAGCATTCGAGTGGATTCCCCACCGCTTCGCGTGAAAGCTTGGATACGGTGGACATCTTTGGCAATGCCACGCTGCTCCATGTGTGTTTTAGGTGAGCGTACATACAGAGGCACCTACGTACTTTGAAGTCTCGCGAGAAGCTTGCCGCTGTCATCTGGTCCTGCCAAGAACGACGTCAGCGAGACTGCGAACGACTGCAACTTATGCTTGCTTATGAACAATAGTTCCTCTGAGCACATTGCCTACACAGAATCCCGGGTCCTCGAAGCAAACTGAGTGTGCCTGCCACGAAAGCTCTGACGACTTCTGATGCAGGCCGTCTCAGTGGTACGGATCCCAACGAACAGATGTGCCAAATGAAAATTAGCTCACAGCCGCAGACTGCAAGCAGGCTGGAGTCGCAGGCATAGTTGGCCCTTGCAGCACGAAAGTGATGGGGGCATCGTCGGCCTCCTGTGATTCGGGCAACAGCGACCCTGCAGAATCGTGAGACTTGTCGAAGCCTGCGCCCATGCCCATACCCAAAGTGGCATGCCAGCTTTTGCGGCTTGACAGACCAAGCAAAGCTGAGAGCAGAATAAATCCACCAATGAGTTTTACAACCCTTATTTCAACGCACTCCGCTCGCTTGCCTCGCACGCACCCCAAGTCCAAGCCCGCCAAACCTCCCTAAAACACTAACAAAACTGAAATCACGTGTGAGATGCACGAAGCGAGCTACCAGATCCAGGCTACTCTTTCACCAGGGCCTCATCAACAGACGAAGGCTTGGGCGAGAGTTGCAACCCGCTGTTGAGACACCTAGCCTGTCCCTCAGAAGTGCGCCAACAATGCCACGGGTCAGTGAAAGATAAATTGCCAAGAACTGACAGCGCGTCACCACTATGAAACCGAATGGTTTCTCGCGGAGCTGCACGGCGGCACAGATACTGCCAAACCAGAGGACCACATCAAACTAATGCTGACCGCATACATCGCTTCCGTAGCTAGCCACGTCATGCTTCCCAGCACTGCGATGCTAGCCAGATGGTAACGTTCCTATGGAACACAGCCGTGACCAGAAGTCAACACGCAACCTCCGATTCCGAAGTTTACGACGATGGATGAGACGCTTCAGACTTTGGATCTGGACGATGTACCACCGCTAAGTAACACCCCACTAGTAGACTCCAGAAGCTCCACCAACACACGGAGAAGAGCTCGGGGGACGGATTTGGTGCCTTAATGCGCCTTAGCAAGTCCACATATCATCATGGCTGCCCATCCACAGAGCTTGGTTCTAGGATCGAGATTGTTTGGTCCACCACTGCCATCGGCTCCAAACAAAGGCCCTTACTGTGCACTACGGTTGCTGTCACCTTCTCAGTTGTGGCGATCCGGCGGCTAGGCGGCTGCTGCGTAAGAAACATGAGGTGCTTAAGATGCTCTTTGAGACGCTAAGAGTAAGATCGGCCTTGCATTCAATTCGACCACCTCGGCGCGTGGCTTGTTGACACAACAAATATTCCAGTGTTTCGATTGGTTTGTAAGTCAGCTGAGCCTGATGCAACGTGGTGTATATATATATATAATATATATATATATTATATGTATACATATGTATATGAATCGGGTGCTCGCTGCCTTCGGACGCAGTCCAAGTGTTCAGCAGCAGTGGAACAACTTCAAATCTGGAAGTTTGCGTATCAGGGGGGGCCTCGAGCACAGTGCAAGTGTCTTCCCTTGCTACCGAGTTTGCGATGGGTCACGCGCCGAGCTGTACGCAAGTGCTGTCGCCCAGGAGCGCTGAGACTATCGGCCGCGTCTACCGCTTCTGTGACAGACCAACGCTTTGTGCAATGGATTCGTCGACTGGGCGTGAGGGATCCAAGCGTGTGGCTGAAACCTCCCGCCGCTCTCATGCCAGCCAATCCAAGTAGACCGCAGCTCCTCGTCCGGGTCTTGCCTGCTCATACAGATGTGCAGAACTTGTGAAAGGACGGTGAACAGGCAGACGAAAGCTGCTGCAATCTGCTGCGCCTGGACAGAGTCATCTCTGGAGCTATCGCGAAGGATAGGGTTGGCTTGTCCACCCCCTGCCAGTGCTATGACAGTTGCGGCCACCCCGCACAGACATGGACTCTTCGAGATCGCGCCCAGGAAATCGCTACAGGCAACTCCCACACGCTGCCGGCATGAAACTACATGTAGACCATCATCCATCTCTTTTCATCAGCCACTGGACAGTCTGGAAGGATCTTCCAAGCATCACTGAAGGTAGGCGGCCCTTCTGAAGAACGTAATTAATTCCTCCTGTACATGAAGCGCCAATCGTTTCTGGAGCCACGGACAAATCCTGATGAAACTGAAAGTCATGAGCATTCGAGAGCCGTGAGACGCAGTCTGGCAGGCAGCGCACTTAAGGTTTAGGCCGCCTCCACGGGAGGTCCTGCTCCGAACGGTCGTTCTGTCGCTATGTCTACTGGCGGCGCTGGCGGTGGCACTGGTGGCGGGTGCCGAAGTGAATTTACAAGGCAACTCGCTTGGTATATCATCTGCTCCATGTGTGGCACCACACTGTAGAGCTCGTCAATGGTGATTCCCAGTCTCTGTAGCTCCTCCTCTGCTCGTGCTTCAGCTTCATGCTTTTCTTGTGCGGTCGCCGCTTGAAGCTCCTCGTCGTTCAAACCATCCGATCTGATGTGCACGGCAGGCACGAGCTCACGTAGACCGGTCTGCAAGCTGGATGCCGCAACGACGAGCCGTGGAAGCGCCATGTTCATCATCGCAAGTGCCTGCAGGCAGCGACATCACGTTCAATTCGCAAGTGGACAGCGTCTATTGCCTCTTCTGGATTTGCCGGCACAGGTGGCCGGCTTTGTGGGGGTTCTCCATGACCCAAACTGGCAGCCCATTTCTGAACCTCATGCGGGCTTGCAGCCAGAACTGTGGACGTTGCTCTGCATCACAAACCGGCTTTCTGCGAACCAGCGACGTTGTAGCTGGCAGCCTTACTGCACACAGATATCGCTACCGTTTACTGCTCGTGAAAGAAGCAGAAAGCCCAGGAAATGCACCTGCACCCCGTATGACAACTTCACCACATCTTCAGCTTGTGTCGATGTGAACTCCTCCTTGCGACTCATCGACTGGAACCTGGTCGAGGTGCAACGCATGCAATGCGTTTAAGGCTCGCATGGTGTAGGGCCGGTGTAGAGATGGATAGGGATCACGCATTCATAGAATCTTAATGCGCATTAATGCGCCTGTCCACCAGCAGCGTTGCTGCTTGCGCAATCGCGCTCTGCAAGCCTTAGACATGCAGCAGTCGCTCTTTTCTCACCTAGCCTGGCAGCCACCGGATGCTCGCAGCCGAAAGGAACAGAGTTGCAGTATCAACGCAGCACGGCAAGAGCTAAGGGCAAACAAAGGCCCCGTCGCACCGCAAACTGACGCAAGGGGATCCGGCTGGCACATCCTCTTGCAGGCGCTCTCACACTTCTTGCATTGCAACTGCGTGGCATCATGTCAATGTGCCCGACATACCCGACCAGTTTTTAAGGCCTGTATCTGCTTGAGACATCGGTCCACCAAACTCCAACTTGGGGCCTTCGTTGCAGAATCGCCCTGGCAAGAGAGCAACGAAAAGGTACAACGGATGGCAAGAGGCCGAGCCGTGCGCCTGCAGTTTCCTCGTTGGGGGGCATGAGCGCGCTTCCGAAGCCACAGAAGGCCCCCTCTGGTAGAGGCAGCAACTTCGGGCTCAAAGCATCCTGAGTCTGAGACATGCCGGCATGCACTCTCAGACCCAATTAGACACTGTCTCATCATGCTCGATGCATCGGAGCTTCGTCTTCAGCTGCGCCCAGCTTGAAATGAAAGCCACCTTTCTTCTTGGTGGGGGATCCGGCAGCTGGGGAAACGCCTCTCCGCCCAGGCAGCGGGCGAGCCTGTGCGAAACGATACTCAAACGACGTGAAGCGAAAGCGAAGCCTTCGACTGATACCGTATCGCCTTCGCAGGCTTGAGACCTCCAGGCTTGGAAGGGCTGGACATATCTGGAACTACACTCTCCCCTTCGCCGAACTGCTGAACCCTCGGCTGCAAAGCATTTCGAAGGCTCTTAGATGCTCTTGGCATTGAAATTGCCAGCTTCAAGCATGATGCGTCTGCTGCCCCTTTCTCGCAAACATGCGATTTCTTTTTACAGAAATGCAGCCATTCGAGATCGTCGAGCTGCGGTGACCTCATGCACAACCAAGATCAACTACGGGAACGCAACTCCCAGCCGTGGCATTCTCAAGCGAAGCTTCATCATCCTTCCTTGTCCCTTCAGTCTTTCCACCCACACCAGATAAGTAACAGGTCCCGGTCTTCAACTGTCGTGCAAAGCAACTGGGGCTGTGGCTGAACTCCAAGATGCTTCAAGCACAGGAACGCAACTGGAAAAGAATACTCGCATCTTGCTTGCATCTGCCTGGCATGATCCAGCCCAAGAGGCAGCACATGCTGTATATTACATTTCAGGTAGGCGTACTGCATCAGTTGCAGAAGCTCGGCGCATGGCTCTGTCTTTGGCAAAATGCTTCACAAGCTCCTGCAGCCTCTGCAGCACTCATCAACTTTCATCAACTGGTTTGTTCTGGTGTGTTCTGATTCTGCCCGCAGGAATATCTGTGATCAGGAACACTGAAACTGTATCGTATCTGCTTCTTCGCAAGCATCGTGCAGGCTTCAAAAGTTGGATCTCCGGGTCTGATTTAACGAAACTGCCTCCAACCTGCGGGCTCAGCAGCCGACGCGTTTTGCGCGGCATCTCTGGCCGACTTTGCGAAGTACTTGTAGCGCTTGGCCTTCTGCCGAAAAGCTTCCATTGTCGGAGGGACTCACAGAACTCAGTTTGCTGCCTGCCCGGCCGCAAGCTCAGCATTTCCTGGCTGAGATGTCAGGGCCACAGCACATTGCACATTATCTGCCGAGCGCACGAGCAGCGATCATGGCTTGTTTCGCAGCATCGCCTACCTGGCGCACACGCGCACGAGGTTGAATGCAACTAGAACATTGTACTCGGCTGGCAAGTGTACAGTGTACAGGGTGATGCCCCGTTGTATGCATGAAGATTGTGTCGTGCGGTCAAGACCTGAGGATGATTCAACATGGCCAACCTCACCTCCTGCGACCAGGCTTTGAACAATTGATACGGCCTTGGATCTGCGAGCGATCAGTCGAGAATCACGAAGAAGGCTCGAACAACTCAGAGCCGGACTTTCCACGCTTCGAGGTTGCTTTTAGTTTTCTTGTGCCCGGATATTTCTTTCTCCTAGGCGATACCACGCTCCAAAACCGTCGCAGCGAGGGATGAGAAAGGTAGCGCCGCAGGACATTTTCCAGCATGCCTCAAAATAATTGCAAGAGACAGTGCCTCAGAGTCTTTCCGCTTCTCGGCCCCGAGGCCGGCGGCGTTCTGGGGCTCCCGGCTCCTCCCTCCTCGCAAAGGACGTAAACCAACTCGGAGAGTCGCTTTGATCGCAGCGATCGCCGTCGAAGTGATCTTCACCTCGCTTAGGCTTTACTGACAGCACGAAAGTTCAAGTACCAACACCCTCAATGCCAAGCGGCAGCGCGCCGTTGAGTGTATGCCCATTGCCGGCTCTTCTCCAGGTCTCAAGTAGCTTCAACGGGCCGCTGTTACAATGCCCGGCCACGACTTGCAATGACAACTTTGGTCTTGAACCCGCGTGGCGGACCAGCGGGTATGCTGTGCTGTATGCTTGGGTCTGAACTGGGTTGGCGTCGGTCGATGGACATCACCAATCATGCATGCCGAGGCCGATCACACATGTGCAGAGGCATCCTTGCATTTCTTGCCTCGTCCTCTGAAAAGAAGGCAAGCTCGTAGCTACCCACCTTGCAGCGCAGATGCATGCGATTCGACAGATCTCAAGGTCACCAGGGCGTGCGCGCGCTTGTTGTCTTCTTGTGGATCCAGGATCATCATCTCGGCTCAACACAGAGATCCTACCATGCGACGACTGAAGGAGGCCCTTCCCGGGCTGCAAAGCTGTCAGAAGCTTGGGCAGAGCACGATTCCCCGTCCAAGCAGGACCTTCGCCAACAGCAAAGCTAATGCCGAGTCTGCTGACGCAGTAATAAATACTTTTGCCTCCCGACCTCGCTGGAAGCCTCGCCGTTGGGATCCGGCCCGTAAAGCTCTGCGCCTACGCTGTGGGCAAATACGAAGGATACCGTAGGATGCCTTCCTTCCACGGAGTGGGAGCACTCAAGACTGTGACTGGCCAAATGATCGACCTCGAGCCTCCGAAGACCAAGGGGCATCTCTCCACAAAATGGGCCCGGATTTCGCTTTCCAACCTCCCGGCAAAGTCTCGAGATTTCTTGCGGGACTCCAAGCTGTTGTTGCTTCTTGAGGCCTGGCTGCATCGCCACTTTGCACATCACCTGTCTCCTGAAATCACGCTAGGCTGCTATGCTACCAACATTGTCACCCGAGCATCTCTGGCTATAGCCGATCACCAACGTGCAGCGTCTGGTCCTTCGTTCTGGCCGCATCGTTGGCCTTGAGGTTCGGCATGGTGCGCACACAGAGAGGGGGGGTCATGGCTGGAGGATTTTTTTAAGGAAAGGGCAGCAACCTCTGCCCTGCTTGCTGTGGCTGAGAACTCCGAAGCTTCTTCCGAAGTCCTCCACGATCCAGGGATGTTCGCTGATGAGCTGGCCGTGGCTTCTTCAGCTGAGGCTGCGACGGAAAAGTCATGCGATACCTTTGTCTGAAGCATCCGGCTGACGAAGACAAGCCACCACAGCATTGAAGCTTAGGGTGCCACGTCCTGTGCATTGACCTGGTTTTTCAGCAATGAGAAGAGCTGTGGACAGCTATCGGCCACGGTCTCATGTCCCTGGTGACTAAGTCTTACGCTCCGAAGTGGTGACGATCAGCGTTTTCTCGTCAGTCCCACCAACCTGTGGGCACAACAACATTTGTAGATGCGTGTAGTCAGGAATCACGAAGAAAAGCCAGGGAATTTACTTTCGAACCTTCACGTAACGACTAGGTGCTGGGCAGCCGTTGCTCGAATCATATTTCCAAGCGGTTTGGCCTGCCGAAGTCGTGTGATGAGACCATGACAGACAATGACTGTGGCAATGATCTCAGCACTACGACGAGCGACCTTGACGCTGCCAGCACCGGTCGGCTTAAACACTAGCAGGAACGACCTCAGCACGGCAGTCCAAATGCATTCCCTCAAAACCATCTCGAATCAGCACTCCCGGTATCAAGCTCTGAATCCACGGTGACTGTGCCGGTACTCCATGTTACCCAGTCCACCTGCCACATAACTCGCATGCAGCAACGACACAAACCTACCAAGTAGATTCAACTCCGGTATGCAATTAGTAGTGGTCTTGCAACACTTGCGCGCCTCCTGCCATTCCTCTTCAGCCTCCGGCCCTCGCACCTCTGAAGACTATCAATGTACTCCCGTGAGACACCGATGCTCAAAATGTCTGTGCTTTGCGCCTTCGCTGGTAAGCTGATGGAAACATCGTTATACATGGCGAAGTCGCACGCTTCCAAAAACTTCGATCAGTGAACCGAGGGTTGGTAAATAGCCGAGTCGCCCAGCGGTGAAGGTTTATCTTTCCGTGTGACAGACTAGTAAGACCTTGTTGGGTAGAAAAAGGTAACGAATGTCCTCTCTGAGAATATGAGACTCACGCCAAGAAAGCAAGCAAGTTTTTCGGAGGCACTATGATGCAGCTCTGAATGCTCTTTCGCAGGCTCACCGACCTCCAAATACTGCCGAAAAATCCAACCTGAATACCTCTGCATCAACGCCACGACCCTGCAGGCCTGCAGGCATGATGGAACGAAGCACATGCAACAAGCAGAACAGTCTGCACCCACTACTCATTTTTCAAAGTGCGCAGCTTCAAGCGGCTCATGCGTGCATCATCTGCTATTGCCAAGGCCAAACTCCTGGCCACCTGGTAAGCGAGAACTTGGCTGGTGTCACTTCTTCTGACTTCTGACGGTCCACCTCCACACTCCCCAAGGTGTAGCTCAAGCGCCACAGCAGCCACGCACAAGCCAGAACCTATCGGTTTTTGTTCACTAGCAGCGCAATGCGGCTGACAGATCCTCGCGCAGAATCGAGCATGCGACGATGGGCACAAGGCCCGTGGCCTCATCAGAGCTTTGCTGAACTTGGCAGCCAGCGTCTTCACCTTTCTGTGCGCTCAGCTGAGAGGGAAGCTTCGCAAGCTCACCAAGCGCTTAGGCCACTGCCCAGCATGTTTCGCAACGTGTGCATAGCGCTGCGCAGCCTTCAGTGGTGCTGCAGCATCCTTGACCATAGGCACAGCCTCATGAGCTGCTAGATGCACCTGGAAGTTCCCAAGACCAGCAGCAGCAGGCGCTCCGCTTCACGAGCAAGTTGCACCTGGGCATAAGCCCAAATCAGAAAGAGCCAAGTTCTGAAGTTAAGAGTCATAAGGGAGCAGGCTCGCTGAAAGGAAGTGAGCGGTATCGCTCGAGGTATTGCTTGAAGTGGCGGCTCATCGAACCAAAAGCTCACCGAGAGCGAGTCCTGATCTGAGCAGAGTTTTGCAAGCTCTGGCTCTACCATACGCTTCAGCCCCGTCTCCTCGGTTAAAGACTGCACATGATGCCACCTCGTGCTGAAGGTCTCCGTGTGCAGCACATGCATGTGATGTCATGTGAAAGCAGACAGGCGAGTATGGGCCGAGCCATCCCGCGGGCAACACAAGCAAATCTCCAGGACCAAGAACTGCCTCAACTGCCCTCACAGCCTGCAGACACTGGCAGACAGCTGCAGCAGAGAGGGAACCCCTCGATTTTCTATGCCGGTCCTTGAGCTTGGGGAAGCGTGCAAAATCTGGAGATTCGAGATCCACTTGCGCACAACGGTCCATTGGATGCCCCTGCCTTCCACAGGAGATCACGCGGATTCAAGACCAACACCGGGAAGATCCCAAAACACAATTTGCAGTGCGCAGCAAGTTTCGCCCTTGAAAAAGTTTTGTACTGATGCTTGTTGATATAGAGTAGCTAGTCATAGCTAGTCACCACTATGCCAGCAATCTTGAAGGTCTTGCAGAGCACTCCGAATTTTTGCTCGGAAACACACACTTTGTTCTTGCAAAACTCTTGCGAAAACCTGCAATTGCCATCGTCGTCCCCTCACAGACACCTTTGTGTGCTTGCTGCCATACGGCAAATGGAATCATTGATTTCGAATGCTTTATGGATCCGTACATGTAGTGCTGTACTCGCGGCGTCGTGGTTCAAGTCTGCGAACAAATGGCAAAAGTGCTGTTCTCATCGAAGTGTGCAACTCCATTCACTAATTCAGACAGTCCAGCTGCTCTTCCCAACTTCAGCGACTGCTCCTAGTCAATCTTTTAGGTAGGCGCGTTCTGCAAGCGCTGGTGAATGCTGTATCTTCCCGTTGCCACACCTGCTCATCCGAGTTAGATACGCCCATAGGACTGAACACCAAAAAGTTTCAAATGCATGCTTATGATTAACTAACGGTCCTAGAAGAGCGCTGCTCAAGCACCACGCCGTCGATAAATGAAAAGTGCCCACCGTCTGTCAGTATCGTATGCAGTGGATATGAGAACAATACAGGAACCCCCGCCGTGGACGAACTCCGGTGACTACGACTTCCCGTTCTCTAAGACTAGTTAGTGGAAGCAGTGAGATGTGGGCAAATGGCGGAGTACCGGCAACCTAGTTAATACTTTGTCAAACTCAGGGAGCATGACAGCTAGTGTCTGTCGCCAGGCCAATAAACAAGAAGCTAATAGATGCTACAAGTAGTGAGCAAACCCACTGTAAATCGGTGCTGCCACGGCTCTTTCTCACCTGTGTGCGTGAGTGTCTTTGTGTGCAGTGTTTTCGTGCTGCACTTCTGTACCTGGCTCTGTGTGTGTGTGTGTGCGGTGTCACCTCCTTTCACTTCACTTCGGGGCGTGGGAGTCTCGTCAGGATCTCTTACTTGCTTGCTAGGCCAGGCGTTTGGGAAAGGGGGTGCGGACCCCCCGCCCCCCCCCCCTCCCTGTGCGCGCTTCGCAACGCCGAACCCCGATGCCCCCTGAACAGGACCCTTCTTTCGCCAGGGCTGTGGTGGGGAGTTGCCCCTGAACAGTCTTCTTCTGCACAGCCAAAGGAAGGCAGGTCCCTGCCCTCCTCGCGCGCGTACGCGCACTAGTCCCTGAACTCTCTCTCTCTCTCTCTCTGTCTGTCTGTCTGTCTGTCTGTCTGTCTGTCTTTCTTTCACCAGGGCTAGGGATGAAGGAGGCAAGCCCCCCTCACCCGCGCGCGTTAAGCGCCCCCGTCATGTGGGGAGCGAATGGTGAGATCCGCATGCGAGATAAAGGCAAAGGTGGCTCGTAGAAGTAGGATGCGCTAAAGCAGAAATCAAACCACGACTGCAAGAAACGATGCACAAACAAAGGGGATAAAACCCCTGCCACCTCTTCACCTCCGCATGGAAATGTCTACTTGTACAGTGCCTCTTCTCTCCTTCAGCGAGTCCGAGGTCATGGACGGGCGAAAGCCCCCTGGGTAACAAGGCCTATAGCAAAAACCAAAACTGTAGGACATCACATGACAAACGCTCGACACTCTTGATCGAAGGAGAGGGGTGTTGATCCCCGGCAGGGCACTTGTGCAGAAAGCATCGGAGCACTCATGCAGACAACATGCTACAGTGACATGTCCATGGAAACGACAAGTAATGAAAATGCACTCAGGGCAACATGTCACTGTCATTGCTCAGAAGGCCTGTACTCACAGTCTGTCTGTCCTCCTACAACAAGCACACTAACCTTCAAAGCAACAAGACCCCCCCGAACCAACCGAAGACAAAAGAACCTGAACTGAAGACAGGACAGATAGTCCCGGGGTTTTTCCCCAGACCATGGAGAGGAAGCCTCCTGAAATCATGTTGACAAGTTGACGAAATTGGCTATTGCACCGTGGTGGGAGCTCAACAGCAAACTACACTCCCAGGAACTAAGACCTAAGAAAGCTAAAGAGGTAGCGGCCACGAGGACAGTATCCCCGGTGCAAAACTGCGGTGTGCATTAGTTTGTGCAACTCTAGGTCACCTGTCAGGGCTGCACTCAGTAGGGTTCGTTGGTCAGCTTTCGCAGAAGGAGCTCGGCAGAGAGTAAGGCGGGGTGAATAGGTACGTCCAGGACTCCCCGAAGTAGGGCCTAATCATTGTCCTCAGACGAATAAGCGGTGTCCATGGCTGCATGTAGACGGCGTCGCCGGTGTGAGGTAGTGCTCATCGCCACGGGTACATCCTCCCGTCTGCTTTGTCTTGACCGGAGGTCCGGACCCGGCAGTAGCACCGTGCTGGCTTCTGACCCTGGTAGCGACGGGGGATGCCCCCCGTCAGTGTGGTTGGGGCTGTCCTCCGCGGCCAAGACGATGGGTGTGCCCCAAAGCGCAGTCGTCCATTGAAAAAGCAGGCTGTGCGCTTCCTGGATCACCAGCGCGCTCTGATGTTCCAGAAAGGGTAGGACTTGTTCAAGCAGTTGTTGAGCTCGAAGCACTTGGTAAGGGGTGGCATCCCCTGGTCTGCTAGGCCTCGCTGGATTTTGTTCCATAGCCGGCGGTCGTGGAGGAGCATGAAGACGAGCTGTGGCTTGTACAGGTAGAACTGGACCAGTAGCAGTCGTCGGCGCGGCCACTGCAGGCGGAGCTTGTAAAGCCCCCGCGTGGACATCTGCGAATCGGGGGATGTGAGTGCTCCCCGACGGCATCTCAGTGGTGCGGCGCTTCTTTGGAGAAGGGCTCCCCGAGGCTTCACCAGATTTGCAGCAGGCCCCAAAGCGTTTCTGTATCCACGTGAGCAAAGCATCCATATGGGCACTGGCGCGGCTGGTCGCGTGTAACGTGGAGGTGATGGCTTCTGTGATGCCGGCCACGCCCCCTTCCTCGATGGCCAGCTGGCTGAAAGTGAGACACTGTAGGGCAGTGCTAAGGCTTGCATCACCATCCCGCGCGCCTGGTGCCTGGGGTGAGCGCCCCCAACTGCGTAGGAGCTGTTGGCCTTCCAAAAGCAGCACCTCAACTCGCCCGATTTCCTTTTTGAGGTGGCGAGGGGGCAAGTCATTGTGGTGCATAACGAGATTGCTCAAAGTGGCTTCGGCCTCCACTAGCGGGTTGTTCATGACAAAGCAGACTTCGGTGGGAGTCGCAAGTGCCGTGTTGGCGGGGACATCCCCGGGGGGTAGTTGCTCTCGCCATTGGCCCGGCGTTCATTCTCTGTCTGCAACTTGTCCAGGTAGTAACATGCCTGGTACGCCAGCTCAGTGACATCTTGCCTTGGTTGCAGATGCGATTGTTGGAGGAGGTCGTTAAGCAGTGCTCGTAGTAGTCGCAGGACACCGAGCACAGAGGTTCCCCCCTGGGAGACTTCCTGCTGAAGCTGCAGGATGTGGGCTGACAGCGCCGGCGATGTCCATGTTGTAGGGCTCCCCGGGTCCGGCTGTGTCGCCGGGGCTTCTTGTCTTCCCCGCTGCATGAAGGAGGTGCTGTCGCCGCCTTGCGTACTCATCAGCTGGTGAGCCTTAGCCCTGGTCGCGGTGGCAGTGGTTTGCAGTAGCACAGGATCATCGACAGGAGGTTGTTCAGGCGGTGGCGGCGGGGGATCCTCACTCGGCCAGCTTGTCTCTGATTCGGAGATGCTTCCCCCGCCTGGGTTTGGTCGTAGGTGCTCTTGCCTTTCCTCCGCCCCCTGCATCTGGTCCATAGGCTGCGGCTCGTCGGCGGGTGCTGTTGCTTGCCGGCCTGAAACTGCTTCTGGTGGTGGATGAAGTGGCGGGGTAGTGTCTACAGCTGGAGCCGCGGGTTTCGGCTTCGGCTTGGCTTTGTTGACTGCTTTGGCTGCAGCCTTGGCAGCGGGGCCTGGGCCCCGATGCCCACGTTGCGTAGGTTGGTGTCGTTCAGGAGGTTCAGGAGGATGCACGGGCTCGGGCTGCGGGACGATGGAGTAACCACCCAGCGTTTCAATGTCATTCTCAAAGCGCGGTCTTCTCCTCCATTCCTGGCCTGCTTCATTCCATTGGAGCCAAAAAGACATGCCCGCTGAGAGGGGAATGGCCCCTGTGCTGTTAGAACTAGAGCTGCTTGGGGTCGACATTGTCGTGTCATCGATCATGACCAAGCACAGCTGAGGGGTTCTAATTGCTCCGAGCTCGACTCTCGTTGAAGCTACCCACGGCCCAACGGGGAGGAGGGTGAGGCTCACTCCATGTGGAAGATGTCTTGATCCCGGGGCACTCCCCGACTGGGTGTTGTAGATGACGAGGGTGGGTTCTTGGCCGTGTCGACGAGGATGACGTGCTATCTCCCAGGAGTGGAGGTCAGTGACTGTGCCACGCCAGGCCCCTGTGGCTACGCCACGCAAAGTCATTATACTGCGTCGCCGTAGAGGGAAGACGGGAGGCAGTGTTGTCGGGGGTGCCCCCGCTAGCCACGAGAGGTCTTGTGTGTGAGCTCCTGTTCGCACGGTGCTGCGCATCGGTTCCGTGTTGCGGGTAGCCGACCATTGAGGTGCTCTCTGCTGGCTGGCCGCGATGGCGGCGTGAGCCTCCAAATCGGAAAGGCCCCCAGGATGTTCCAGGCCAACAACTTCTTCCGTTGGTTCCGAACCGGTGGGCCTCGGCGGTGGCTGGTAAAACAGAAGATCCCCTGGGTCGACATCCGCTCCTGTAGTGGCGGTCTCGGCAGCTTGACCACCGGGTATTTGTCCACGCCGTCACCACGCAGCTGAATGTGCGTACTGTTAGTCAGCTTCCTCGGGATGAACTGAGTGCGTGTTGGCTTGGGCGGGTGTTCTCGGTGCCCCCGGGGGAGGGAGAAGCGGACACGCTTGCTCTGTACCTGGCTGCGGCTGTGGTTTTGTGGTGTGGTTGTAGGCCTGGCAGCATGATCATGGAGTGTCCTCTCATCTCCTCGGCCTGGTGCTCGTGGTGGTTGTTGTAACTGGGATGGCCGCTGCAGTAGTTGTTGACTCGGCTGCTGTTGTCTGGCTGTAGGCATGGTCAGGTCATCTCTCCGAGAAGGGGCTTCGTCACGACGTTGATGCGGTGGCAGGAGGTAGGGATTGCTTTGTCGACGGGCTGAGTGGTCTGCTGCTGCCTGTGCATCAGCTTTCGTAGGCTGCGGGTCAGCTGTCGTCAGAGGGTTGTTTTCCCCTGTATAGTCGCTGGTTGTGGCGCCTTGGGCTTGCTGCTGCCCTGCTGGTGGCTGTGGGATGATGTTACCCGCGCTGTCATAGACATAGTGGTGGGCGTTGAGGAGGCTGCTGAGCACTGCTCTGTAGGCATCGGAAATGACTGGCCGCGGTTGCTTCTCTGGCGGGATTTCCCCGCGTTTGAGCCAGTCCAAGGCCCTGCGCCATGTCAACCAGGCTGGCTTGCGCGGCCAGCCACGCTCCTCCCACAATTTCTTGACATCTGATTTCCTGGCCTTGTTTTTGACCCGCTGCGATGTCTGTCTCTCTCTCTCTCTCTCTCTCTCTCTCTCTCTACCACGACAGAGGGAACGAGCGGACGCCCGAACCCCAGCGCGCGCGCACGCGCACCTGCGGGTCCTTGCAGGGTTTTCAGTTTTCCACAGGGGGGCTAAGCCCCCAGTGGCGCGGCTTTACATGGGCACAGCAGAACCAACTCAGCCCCCATCGTTCACCAGCAACACAAGGAGCAGTTCGCTGCACGGGATCTCTCTCTCTCTCTCTCATCTCTCTCTCTCTCTCTCTTCCTCTGTGCGTGTGCGTGCGCACAGTATTCTATGTGGGATGTCTCTACTTCTGTCTTCAGCCAAGAAACGTGAGCGGCGCTCCCTCTTTACGAACACACGCGCAGCTTTCAGGATGTGAGGCTACGCGGCGCGTCGGCTCCGGCACGGCAGCAACCGCCTCCGACTCAACCCGCCGCGACCCGGGTGCAAGGCTTTCCCCCTCTCACCAAACAGCAGAGTGAAGGAAGATTTTGGAGCCGTGAGCGAAGCCTGTCAAATGCAGCGTTGCTCCGTGCTATCGAAAGAAAGTGCCCGGCAGTCGAGGAACACAACCAGCTTGAGATAAACATAGATAAACTGACTCCTATTGGCTGCAAGACTTCCGCAACCCAGAACATGCAACTGGGGCCCTTCAACCCCTCCGCTCTTAAAAACAAAGCAAACAACAAACCCTGTTCCTCTGGTCTCCCGTGCAACACTGAACCTTCATGCCCCTCCGGCTTGGCATAGTGGCCCCTAAACGACCATGCATGATTCATGATCCCACGAAGCGCAACGTTTTGAAGGTAATGGACGCACGCACACAACCCTGTACGGTATTCCGAAGCACCCAGCGCTGGTCCCCGCACCCTCCCTGGCTCCGAGGTCCCTGCGACAGCTAGCCCCAGTCTCGACAAGGCCGTGTAAGTATTGTACTGCTGCCACATGCTGCCACTCTATAACGCTCTCCCTGTCTGTCTGTCCGCGAGCGTGCGTGCGTGTGCTTGCAGCGAGGAAGCATCCGTGCAATTCAGTCCGCTGGCAGGGCAATTCACCTGAAGGAATCTGTCTCACCATCCGTCCACGTATAGCATAGCAGGCTATCCACATCCCGTACACCACTGTCCCAAGTGCTGCCGGCGGCTAGCTCAAGCCTTTCTACGCACTCAGGAAACAGCCCTGGAGATCCCCGTGCGCATGGTGTTCTCATTTCCATATCCGACACACGACTTGTAAAGCAAAAGGGGGCCTGGAAACAACTGGAAGAATCGCACAGAGATGGGAGCCCTTCTCACACCAACAGCTCTGTCATCTCTGGTGCGAGACAGCTGTTGCTTCTACCCACTTGCACTTGTTCCCGCATGCCACTATTGATGCCTGAAATCCTGCATGACTTACAACATCGCACATATCCCATGTCGTGCTATCCACTTCCCCGCAACCCCTTAGTTTCAATGTTGCATCTCCATGGGGTCATGCAGGATTTTGGGCATTCGCGCAGACCCTGGTTTTGACCCCCTCCTGCGTCAGTGCAATTACAAGTTGGGGTAGCAGGGGAGCCGCGGGTAGGTTCAAAGTGATGCAGAATTTCGGGCATCAACCGTACCTTTCTCAACACGGTGTCAGGTTAAGGAAACGCATCCACTACAGCCGCTACATGAAGAACAGGATCTTTGCAAAAACAACCCGACGGACAACGAAGTTGCACGATGGCATGAGGGCCGTGCGGGTATGCATAAAGGTTCGGCGCATAGCAGGGATCGACGAGTAGGAAGCGCTTCCAACCTCGCACCTGGCGTCAACACGGCACCAAGTCCTGCAAGCTTAAGATCTTACGGCACTGCAGCCACGGAACTTGGACGTAAGCGTTGTGGACCATGTCGTAGTGACACGGCCTTGGTGGCAGAAGGGATCTGCGATTGCAGGCAAGGGCCTCCACTCGTCCAAGTCGCGTTAGCGCATTTTCGCAGCCCACGAAAATCTGCGCTTGCCGAAAGCAGCCCCAGCTTGCAACCTGAGTCATGAGCATTGCATTTCAAAACCACTGATGGTGAGGTGTTCGCTGCAGCTCCGAACCGCTTACTAGCTTTTTGATCAGTGCAGCGCATCCACTTTGCGGCTTTTGAAGTTCAACTTGTGGGGCTCTTGCACTGCGACCTCAAAGCTACACGAATCCCAAACTGAAGCAGTTTGATGCTCACAGTGCCTGCTCTAAAGCAGCTCGAAGTCTGCAACCAAATGCAAGTGATCCGAGGGCCAGGTGTCATTTGGCAGAAGCTCTGGCCAATGGCAGACCACCTCCTCAGGAGGGAGCTCCAGCACTGCTCTTGGCTTTATAGGTCCGCGGTAGAGTATGTGATCCAAGCTTGCTTTCACGTCCCTGTCGAGCCAGCCAGACCAAGCTGTGAAGCTGGGAAATTGGTAAGCAGGCTGAAACCCAGCTTCATAGAGAAAGGTCACGGCCTTGGGCTCCACGGTCGCTTCCCGGTCACAGCAGGATCGCGAAGTGCAGACCGCATAAGCGGCATGGTGTGCATTGAGGTCTGCCGCAATGATCGTCGCGACGCTGCCAGCAGTAAATTTGGCTAGGTACTTGTCAAGCATGACCGCCTGCCGGAGACGTCGTTCTTCCATCTCCACTGAGAAGCCAGCTTTCAGGTGTGTTGAGCACACAACAAACACTTTGCCTGTAGAGGTCTCAAACCGAAGCAGTGCGGCAGTCATCGCGCTGCTGGCTTCAAGCTGCACGTGCTCGATGTCTTTGCAGCGAATCGTGTGGTGCCAGAAAACCGCCGTCCCATCCAATATCTTTCTCCAGGCCTTCTTGCAAAAGGATCCGCGATATCCGGAAGCTTCCAAGACACCTGCAATGTCGTGGAAACTGTCCACCTCTTGCAGGCAAATGATGTCCGGCTTTTCTTGGAGTATTATATCCAGAAGTTTTGGGCGACGGAACTCCCACCGCAGATTGACCGCAGAAGTGCGAAACGTATGAACTGGCGAGGCGCTCTTGTAATGGTAATGGCAACCAGCAGCTCCACCCTCACACAGGTGCGTGGCGGGGGAGATTTGTACCGCTTCGTCTGTGTTGCAACCTTCGGCGAGAGAATCTGCTAGAATATTGAATTGAAGAACTCGGATGACAGATGTAGTCCGAGGCTCCGCAGAAGCTGTGAAACTCAGCCGTCTTCGTCGCATCAAAGCCATCACGCACTCTGCGCGGCACATGTCCGTATACAAGCCACTCCGAAGGGCCACGACGGCCACGTCTACAGTACGATCTTTGAGCAGGAAATGCTGTCTCAAAGCATGCTCTGTATCAAGCAAGCCACGCCTGGCCGTGTGGCTGGGAAGCTGGGCACAACATGTTCAGTAACATTCAGTAACACACAGGCACGCAAGAACGCCGACCACCACGCGCCTTCTGCAGCTGGTGCAAACGTTGCCAAAGGCCCTCTTCTGCTAGATCTTCATCCACGGCAGGCCCGAAGTTGAAGCCTTCAAAGTCGCCTGCAACAGGGGCCCTTCATGCTGTGGAAGCCGATTTCACTTTGAGAAGGTCAAGAGGTCAGGGAGCTGCTAGGGCCAAACAACATCTTGTATGTGTCTCTGAGGGCCGGCGGGGATTCTTCTGACGTTTCAAACTCTGGCGAAGGGGCCCACTATGGCCCAGTTCTTCTCGTATGTTTGGAGCACCCACGCTTCATGTTTCAGACAGGTTGAGCAAGGTTCCAGAGGCACAAAGAATCGCCTCCTGCGTCTGATCCTGGATCGGCCCCTGCACGTCTTAGCGCCACGCCCCACAGGTAATATGCATAACCTTGGCCCAGACCCCGAAACATCTGTGGCTGCCTCAGCCTGAGCCGCCTTCTTTACTACATTACTCGACATGCAGGGTCTCACATTCTGTTTTGAAAGGACCAAGGTTCATGCCGTCACCGCGACCTTGTGCTGCATCCCGCTTGCGTTTCGCAAAGTCCCGAAAGTCCAGACAGAGCTGCTCTGCACTATCCTGGAAATAAGTCTTAGATTTTCAGCCTATGTGACCTGCATGCTGTGAGAATCGCTCCTCCAGGTGCATATCGTAGAGGTCCTGTCGCACAAGCAGCGGCGCTATTGTCCACTGCTAGATTGCTCTAGGTCGGCCTCAGTTCCACTGCCACCTGCCGCATGCCCGGCGTAACGGAAGCGCCTTGCAGGCACCGAGAATGCAACCACACACGACTGAGACGACAGGATCGACGGGGCACCGGTATGGTTCGCGTGCGCGATAGACGGAAAATCTGCTTGCTTCAGGACTGCCTAGGACAGCCAGTAGATAGCTCTTGCAAGGAGTCCGAGTCCACATGCAGACGCGCAGCTGGGATCTGGAGACGTCTCCTCGAGGAACTGCAGGCTCCACCGGGCCTATAGTGACGACGCTAGCACGCCCTCCCAGCAACTCGTTGAGATGTTTGACTAGCCAATACCAGGCGCCTCTGCACGGCGCATCAGATGCGCCGCTCCTACCAAGGCGGGCTTCTGCTTGGAGACCCGTCCAAGCGCATCGTCGAAAGATATCCTGCCCAAAAGTCATGTTTGGCCGTGATTCGACAACTCCACCATAAAGCCACAGCCGTCATGGATAGCTTGCCACCACGAACTGAATCGCATGAACGAGCTGCTGATTGTCGTTGTGCCGTGTGTCGCTGTATAGCTGGTTATGATTGTGCGTTGATGGTTGTTGTTGATTTTTGATTTTTGGTTGTTGGTTGTTGGTAGTGGTGGCAGTAGCAGCAGCAGTGTAACGAAAACACAACCAACAATCTCACCACGAGAGCCGTTTTACTCGGTATTTACAGTACTTTCGAGCTGTCCTATATAGTTGCCACCCCTGCTTCTGGACTGTGCGACTTACGCTTTGGTGTCTCGAACGGCTTGCGGCGAAAACTCGAAATTAGGTGGGGCAATTTTTCTCGGGGATGATCACCAAAATGTTTCGCGCGCACACCACCCCCCCCAAAAAAAAAGTCCAAAATCCGAAGCTCGAATTTGCAAACTCGACGAGACGACTTTGAGGCTTCACAAGATGATCCTACATGACGAAAGTGCTGTAAATACCGAGTAAAATGGATGTTGCCTGAGCATATTTAAGCGTACGTGTGTTGGAGGAGGCTTTTAGGATGATGTTGATGATAATTTTGGGATGATGTTGATCATGATTCTTGGATGATGTCGATGATGTTGAGGTTCATGACGATGACGAGGTGTAGTTCGT